TGTGTGTGTGTGTGTGTGTCTGAGGAGTTGTCTGAATGGATAATCTCGTCGTTTTGGTAGCTTTAGACACTCTAGGTTCCTTGTTTTGCCGTTGACCGTTTTAATACATCAGTAGATCCCGATGTTTTCATTCATTTTCTTTGTTCGTGCAGGCAGGTTACAAGAACAGGCAACAGGTTACTAGAATTTCCAGCAGATTCTCAAATTAAATACACTTGAACATTCACCTTTTGTTAACCCAGATGTACAGCAATTCTCTGATAAATTTATCTGTTTTACACCTTCCTGTGTGATGTTGGTCTTACCGACTGAGTTTCCCAGGTAGAAAAGATACGCAACGAAGTGGGAATCAATAGTCATCTTCTCATTTTTAAAGAAACACATTTGTTCCGCAACTTTTTCTTCCATGACCCTCTATAGTTTTTTCAGCATTTGATGTTGTCATGATTGTTGCATAAGATCTTGCAAACAATGTCTTTCTTTCTAAATAAATAAATCGCTTTTAATTGACTTAAATGTAGCGGCCAGCAGATCGACCATGATCTCACGTTTCAGATTATTCCTTTCTCATTCATTGTGTTTAACTTATAATAAATCATGAAGTAATAAAACGATGAGGTATGAAAACTTAATAGTGACGTATTTCGTTTCGCCTTCATGATATAAACGTATTTTGCGTGAAGATGTTTGGCACAAAATTTGCACCGATGGATTACGGGAGCACTGTCTGTCTTTAATCATTGATAAATGCATGGTCATTTCTCACCAAGATGTCTAACGTCTAAACAGAAGATAAAACTGTTCATGCTATATTTAAGGGAAGATTTGATAACTGTTATCTTGTCGAGAAATGGGAAGAAATATGCATCATTCGCCCAAGACCGGGGTATATGAACCGAATTCGTAAAGGTACGTCGTCTCGCACTCACATGAACTCTCTTGTCAGCTGGAAAAACAAACACATTCTTAATGGCAGTAGATTCATGAAAGTACTGTCAGAAACCTAAAAAATCATAATAATAAGTAAAGCTCTCGCAACCCAAATCGTGTTCTTTCATGTGCGCAAATTAATCCTGTATGATAATAATATTTGCTATTTAGGGCTGAAGAAGGAACCCACTGCAGGTTCTAAAGGCTTCACTTATTGAGTATATTTTATGTGGGCTTCTAACGCTCTTTCTTAACGGCTTGTGGCGCAATCTAGTTTCATCGTGCAGGTATTTATCCTATACTTAGTGCTGCTCAAGCAATTGACATTAAAAATTAAGATAAAATACCAACAACGAGTTGTATAAGAGTAATACGCTAAAAATGTACATCAGAAAGGAAAAGAAATGTTTTAACGGATAAATGACTTGAGTTGAAAACCAGAAGAACCAGAGATAAAATTGGATGCAGAAGATTTACGATAGGAACTTCCAAGAACAAGTATTGGCTGAACTAACTCAGTTATTGTACATTCTTCTGTTGTTAAGCGAAATATGCAGCGACTATTTATTGAGGAGTTAAATTAAGTTTATGCTTCCCTTGTCACAGTTCATTTGAAATTGTGTTCGTGTTTTAAGGAATTCGCTGTGATCCGGGAATGACAGATTCGTTTCCACTGTGGATCCTCCTATGAAGGAATGATTGTATTTTATTACTTGAATATGCTGAACATAACCAAATGCTTCAGCACAATAACAAAAATTAACGAAATCCATAAGGAGCACGAATTTTGTTTAGACTGTCTATCAGCAAACAAACATGTGTCTTCATTAGAAATGACTGAGTTGCGTCTCAGTTACGTCTGACTGCGGAAGTTCACTATTAGTAATCTCGTTCCGGGATGTAGAGGCATGCGAGGCAACAGGGCTGGATAAAGTGGACAGTTGCTGTTGGAGAGACTGCGGGTGCCAAAGCGTGCGCTAGATCTTATGAGGCGTTGTACAAGTTTTTTGATAAGAAACTTTAAAATCAAAGCAGCCACTACCTGTTATCAACTTGAAGACGCTCGCACAAAGCGAACATTCCTCTTCAAAAGTGCATACCTCATACACATACGATTGCACATGTTCTAACGCATTTTATCACCAGTCAGCTTAACATTTTCAGACCAATACAAAGCTTTAGTTAAAATTACCTGAAGATATTAACACATTCAGCTTCAGGAACATCGCAGAAATGAGAAATTTAGGATTTTCTGTTATTTAAATTTAATATCTCATATCCATTTTCATCAGATTTGCACTTCAGCAGCGTCTCTGACAAACTTCTAATAAAGCTGCATAGGTTGTTCTTGTTGATCAGAAGCTAAGAAATTGTAGTTACAACGCAAGAGATCGACGTATCTTGTCTTAATAGCCGTAGTCTAAAGGGTATGTGCGTATTCCTGATATTAACTCCATTGCATTTTTAGCAGTTGACCTGATAAAGAGCCATAGACTAGTCATGGTTAAATAATGGGTTAGCTTCCTTTGTAAAATACATCAGTGTGGCTGTGTTTTCTATTTAAAAAATTTGGTAGCTTTGTTTTGAAGATACCGAGAAAGGGTATGCAAGATATGGATGTTTTTTGTTGTTCCAGCTTTTTAGGGTTATTTTTAGGATTGACTGGTCTGGAGTTAATATAAAATTCAAGCATCCACATTTGTACAACATTCTGCCGAACAAATTGAACTCTTGTTGACGTAACATGTACTGTGAAAAAATTTATTGGTCTCTAAATTGCACATTCTTTTTTTATTAAAAAAAGAATATTACGTATGTTGAAGAACAATCTAGCTGACCATTAGAATTTTGTGGCCTTCTGTAAACGTTGGAAGCAGAATAGCAAAAGAAGTATTATAGTTATTTAAAATGTCAAGATACTGAAGTTGCCCTTCATTTTGCTTCTAAAATTGAGCAGAATCGTAGTCAATGGCTGGGAGTGAACGTGTAGAAAGAAAATGCCATTTATCTCCCTGCAATGAAAGGCAACTTACTATTGCTGCAACAGATACATGTTTCATACCTGAAATTTTTATGTGCTCAGTTATGCCTAACCTAATCCTGAACTTTGCACGTTCGGAAATGCAGTTCATTCGACCTTCTCATGAATGATGAATGGTTGTATTGTTCTTGACCACTGTCTTGTTTATTGCACTATTTTGCATAGTTATTCACCTTCTGTAGCATGCTTAAAGGTCGGTAGTTCATTTGTGTCACCGAAGTTGCTTTTAACCTTAAAAAATATATGAAAATTTAAACATGAGAAATAGGGACCCCCTTTTATATAGCTTCTTTTTATTGGGTATAATTTAACGATGTATTGTTTAATTTTGTAGGACTGCCATTGTTGGTTCAGATCACGATCGCACGTCAGATTCACTTGCAGAACGTGATTGGCCGTGGCCGTTTCGGCGAGGTGTGGCTCGGTTCTTGGAAAGGTGAAAACGTGGCGGTGAAGATCTTTTCTACCGTCGATGAAAAATCGTGGTTCCGAGAAGTAGAGATCTACGAAACAACGATGCTTAGGCACGAAAATCTACTCGGCTTCATTGCAGCCGATAACAAAGGTAGGTTTTAATGTCTCATGGCATTTTTGCCCGAATAATGACGTAATCCGATTTTTCGCAGACGCTGGTATGACAACGCAACTGTGGCTGGTCACTGAGTACCACCAGAGGGGGTCATTGTATGATTTCCTAAATGTGCACACCGTCGACCTGGCGCTGCTCTGTCGCATTTGCCGCAGCGTCGCCAACGGCCTCACTTTCCTCCATACCGAGATCGGCGGAACTCATTGTAAGATCGACATTCACTGCTATCATTTGCTGGTTCTAATGGTCGTGTGATTCTCAGGTAAGCCCGCCATCGCTCACCGTGACCTAAAAAGCAAAAATGTGTTGATCAAAGACGACGGTTCATGTTGCATAGCCGATCTTGGACTGGCAGTTCGATACTACTCATCTACAGGCACGATCGATATTCCGGATAACAACAAAGTCGGCACAAAGGTATGCATACAAAAGGGTGTAAAAAATTACTCTCGTCATTTTACGGCGTTATTCATTGTTTTGTAATCACTTCGCCTAACGTATAGTGTTGTTTCATTAAAATGGCAATTTAATTAACATGGTTAAGAGCTACACAGTCGAGAGTTACAACTCAAGAAACAGAGCATGAACGCACTATTACAATTATCTGCGTTCTGTATATGCTAAATCACTCTGAATCCTTTTTAAAGATTTTAACGTCTGCGAATGTTCAGTTCTGTTTATGGTTGAATGACACTTTTAGACTGGCGATGACGAAGGTAGAAAGTGAGATTCTGCCATGAGGGGCAGTTGTGTTGTTTATCCAGCAATGAAGAGAGACTGCAACCATCATGACTGCAAAGACTGGATATGTTTCCTTAATTGCTTTGAAAGGTCAAAGAAACAAAGGAATTATCGATTGACTACAAATTAGATGGGTTAATGACCCCCCTGACAATCAGGGATAGGCGGCAACTGATAAGCGACGGAAGCAAGTGACGACAATGCATGAAAACATCTGACGATTCGAATTTTCCGTGTTCACTTTGAACACTAGCACTTAGTGTTCAGTATCCGAATCGGTTCATTTTGATTGATCAGGACAGACTTGTTCCCTTGAGCAATGTGTTGGTGCTCTACACGGGATGTCTTTTGTCATCGCGAGGTGTTACCTACAGCTTAGTTTTTCCCAAGTTATACGTTTCATGCCGCCATGCCGAAGTTTAGAGTTGATGATCGCTTCTTTCGAGTATTTGTCTCCTATTTCATTTTTCCGAGAATGTCATTTTCACAATCGCGTAATATTTTTTAATAACAACTTTCACTCTCATTCGGTTTCCTTTTGTTTTTTTTCGTCTTAGTAAACCGCATCGTACCACTTTTTTGACCTATGCTTTGATTTATAAATGTAGTTCGTTGGATAAAAAAAATTCGTTAATATCAAATGAAATCCCCATTGTTTATTACGTAAAAATTTGACCGATTCCTGAAGATTACGTGATGGTTCCAACAGGTTACAATACTTAACAATCATAAAAATAATTATTGCATATTATTTTATTGTTTTAATTTCACTCGCACTCTATGAAGTATAGCGCGTGTGGTATGAAGGTCTTCTTGGTTCAGACCCTCTACCGGAGGTTAAAGAAAAGCGGTGCTCTTCATGATTTTTTCGCCGTACTTCACAGTGTCGCCTTCAGCAGTTCATCCACGTTGAATGTTTCATCAGTCGAATTTAGTAGACTCTGGTGGTCTGTTTTTACTGATTCGAGGAATTACTTCCGCTTTTACTCCAGATCTTTTGTATTAATATTGAATTCTCGTATGTTAGCATCTTTTCTCTTCCCTCAGCACAGCGTTACCGACAGCCGGCATCTTATATGAGCGATCTATGCCTACCTATAGACGTTGCTCGCTTGTATCACGGGGTTTAAAGTCTTGCAGCATTCTTTTTCGATGGCCCCTGAACCTAAGCTCTGATTTGCAGCAGTTTGCTGGCAGTTCTTTGAAACCTTGTTCCTTTTCTTCAGCCACTGCTTACGCATCCGTCACTGTTCTGCAATATCGCCAGCTGCAGAAAGACGTGAAACTGATTTTTTTGTCCATTTTTCACAGTTGAGCTCTCTCAGTTCTTCAACACTCGGTCCGGTCCCGCTCGGTCCATGATAGCCGAAGAGTATAGGATCGGGAATGTGAACGTTTTCATCACAATTCACAACAATGAGTAGATTGTTAATCGCACCTGGTCTTTCTTTCTTCTCAAACCAGTCCTCAAACCCCACCAGATGCCAAAGCTTCCGCTGCTATTGCTTCAGGGGTCAGAGAGGCACGCATGCTCCATCGTTAAGTCGCGGCTGCGATCTCTGTACGGTTACTACTTATTATAATTATTATTTGTTTAA